AAAGAGTGTGCGCGAGGGTCGTCGGATAGAGCTCTAAAAGAAAGTCAACGCGAGTTGACTCTCTCTCTCTCTCTCTCTCTCTCTCCGTGTGCTGCTGTTCTTGATGTTGTGTCGAACGTACCCGTAGTACACCAAGAAGGCGGTGGGAGGAGGAGGATCAGCGACCCTTATGACACTCGCTTCCTTTCGAGTTTTAAATACTCCTTCATATACTCTGATGGAGGATTCCCTGGAGCTTCCTAAGCAGAGTGTCGTTAGGGCATTTTCATTTTTAATATTAATGGCGAATAACCGGATGAGCACGGAACGATTTTCTGTTCCGATTTTTATTTCGGCGAGGCATAAAATGCAATTTCATCACGAGCAGGACTATTATTTCCCTAGAAAACTCTTCATTTTGCGTTCATTAATTGGTCATTCGACTATACCACCGACTGGTTGTCGTACAGTTAAAATAGCAACGCAGCCGATATGGCAGAGTCACCGATATCGGCGGTTCGCCGTCACTTCCCCTCCACTCCCACTCGCGCTCTTAGATCTCGTTTTATCGGTTACCCTTTACTCCACTGATTCACCTAGAGTTCGTGACCTTCCAATTGGCAAAGCCAAGGCCTCGCAAATCGACGTCCCAGGACCATGGATATTCATGGATAGTAGTGATATCAGAAATGGAACAATCGTGACGGATAAGAGTGCGGTGTAATCGCTGGGAAGATGGAGCCCAGCCACTGGACTTATTATCAAGCGACCAATCAGCCAGGCTAATCAGAAAATTCAGAAATTCTGCATCGACGGCAGCTCATCGAAAGGCGATGAAAGCAGGGGCTGCGATCTCGAACGAGGTAACCTGTCGCTAAACGCGAATTCCAAGGCCATTGGCGGCTCGCATTTAAAACCAGTTCCCGTGGTAGCTTTACCACGATCCCTTCCGGGATTAGACCTCCCGTACGCGTATGACCGACAATCGTCCTCCTCTTCTTCGCCACCTTCGTTCGCCCGGGTACGCGACCGACGATGTACTTCCCTCTCTATTCGCCATCCTCGTCGACCGTGATCGCGCCGTCATCATCGGCCGACCGTGACACTACCGCCGCCGCCGCCGTAGATTTCTCCGTCGACTGCCAAATTACGCCTCGATTACGAATTACGGGAATGACAATTTGTCAGTCGCTAATTTAATACAGGACGTCGCCTTGACTATTAGTATTGTCGTAATTTCACTCGCCGACCAATCGAGAAGGGCTCCATCAATGTATCTACGCAAGGTTTTTCCCGAGGCTCCTCCACCCCTCTTACTTGGCCACGGGCAAAAAAAAGTTCGCTCGTCCCATGGCTTTAACCATCGTGTTTGCAAGTGTGCGTATGTCACTGAACCGACCAACGGAATCTAAAACTTTGTTAATGTTCCGATTTTCCTCCCTGCAACGAAATTTACAACGAATTATGTCGCCCATCAAGGGACGATGGACCCGCGAGTCTCTTCTTTGTTCTCGCGAGGCGCATTATAGAATCGACAAGAAACGAAATCCGAAACAGGAATGGAAGCGGGACAGCATTGGACAAGATCGGAGGTGAAAATGCGTGTGTTCTGGAAGTCTCGAGGACCTCCTGGATTATTGTCGGCGGGAAAAGCGCAGCAGCGAGGGGTCGGTGAACGATGACCGGGACTCGCCGTCTAGCGGTTGGGAAGCGGGGTGGTGAGAGCGGGGGAGTCAAACCCGTTTGAAACAAGCGACTATCTTGCAGGCCGTTTGGCTCGGCTCTTTCTGCCCCTCCTTCTCGAGCTCCAGTGAGTGGTTTCAGGCCTTTTTCAGGCTCGATCCTCCCTGCTGTGATCCTCTCTCTCTCGGCACGTAAAAATTGTGCTTAAACGCTTTAATAGCCCGGATAACCCTAGCCACCGAGATTATGGCACACTCGGAGGAGCGAATTCCTGCGAGTCATCGTATCATTGGCGATGTCAAGCCTCATTGTCACCTCGGGTCGCGAAGCCGACGGCAATGTGTCATGTAAAAAGGGTGTGGCACGGCCGCGAAGCGACTCGATTCAATCATTCGCGTATTTCTACGCCTCGACTTTTTTTGCTCGTATTTTCGTATTTCTAATTACTGGCACTACATTATTTATAGATTCGCGTCATTTATGGACAACTTTACTTCTATATATATATATATATATATATATATATATATATATATATATATTGGCATTATAGGATGGATTCGTCATTTTCTGTATGCTATAGCGCGTGCTTGCGCTTCTTTACCGATTGCAATGTTCTATTTGTATAGGTAATTAGAGAAACGGCTTGGCGGATTATTACTGGCTATTATTATTATTGGCTACAGAGTTTGGTAATGTACTTGCGGATTTGAAAAACAAAATGGCATTTTTCCTTGAGAAACTTGGAAGCGGATTTGTGGAGAGACATTTTGTTAAGTCGAAATGATTTTCATGAAATTAAAACTGTAAATTGCACGCAGTGCTGTACGAAACTTCAAGTGCAAAGTCAGCTCCACTAGCCTCATAATTTTTAACTTTAATACTATAATTATTTCACGTGGATCAATCAATTAGCCTGGATTTCGTATATATTGACCCCTGGCTGGATGGAAAAGGCTAGAAATTACTTTTAGTTGCCTTGAGCTGTTATTCGAAATTTGAAAAATGCATTGAGAAGTTCAAAGATATAAGTGTGGCGAAGAGACTCAATAATGAAAGTATCGTAAAGGACATTTGTAATAATAAGTCACACGTATAGGGTATCTCCATGTTGTGTTGGCCTTAGCAAAGCAACTCGAGTCATTCACATTTTATCCAGAAAGGACAAACGAATCTTAGCTGCGATCTTTCTTCTCAGGAAATAAAGCAATGAAATAAAAACAGAACATAGAAAAAGTGTTATAGAATTAACATGAAATCAGCACATTCATATCCTAAAATGACTTTATTAACTCTTATTCTTACATATGTCGAATATATACTTGTCAGATCTATTATTTGTGTACACGTATGTATATTTAATTTATTTTGATACTTTTTTCCTTTTATTTGTATTTTCAATATATTATTGACAACATATTCATATAGAGTCGCTTAAATTTATGCGTATCGACAAAGATCGCGAGTTGCGTCATTCGGTGCCACTGTTAAGTGTCATCGTTACAATATCCCGGGGTTAAATGTTATTGATATTCATGTATAATTGGACATAATTATCCACAATTAAATATTTGACCCTATACGGGGGGGGGGGCTTACGAGCCAAGAGTCCACTGACTTTATTATACTGATAAACTCTTTAACTATGCAATTCAAGTAAAATCTTATAATCCTTCTCATGGTATGACGTACTTAATGTACATAGTAAAGTTTCATAATTATTAATGTCTTGTCTATACAAATAACGACATGTCTACTTTTAACTGTTATTAAATGAAATTTTATCAAATTCTTACAACCCTCGATTAAAGTATTTCTTAAGGTCAAATTTTATACACAATTGCTCCTAGTTTCTCACATTTGCGCGCACGTGTTGATATATGTATATGTGCATTCGGTCTGCGAGTGTGCGTTAGTGAGGGCGCGCGAGTTTTTGTATATTAGTGAGCGAATGAGCGAGTATGGGGCCGCGCGTTGTGCATGTCAACTTGTACATAAATTTATCAATTGTTTCACCCTCGTATGCTAAAAGTACGAAACTGTCGAGTGTGTTTATATATCAGGTACCTTCCACAAGAGTACCGGTATAATTCATTTGTGTGTGTATTTGTATCTCGGTATCTATGTGCAGATGAGTATACTCGTTGCGAGTTATACCACATTAACGAAGCATTATGACTTAATAAGTAAGAATAATCTTAAAATTCCAGGCAATTATAATGCGCTTTTTTATATTTATCTTCTTCTTCGTCATTGGAACTTTAAATACTTAATCATACGATTCATTAAAAAACCATGTCTACTTCGTCTACGCTTCTTCGCAAAAGCGTAATGATAAGAATTACACAGGTTTTCCTCCATTTTTATTTTTATTTTTTTATTTGATTTACTTATTATTATTTATTTAATTATTAATTTTTTTTTAAGTATAATGATAAATTTTCTTCATTCGTTTTAGGGAGTGAATTCAGTCTGGAAGTTTATTTTTACCTTTCGGATAGGAAGATTTCATTTAATAGAATTTTAAAAAATTTATATCACACAATACAACTCTTCGTGTAACTAATTTGTCGATAAATATTGCCAAACCTTTAAATCAAGCGAACAACTCCTTAACGTATAAGTTATTAATCATCATCGGCCATACAAATTAAACGTATGCATTAAGATTGTGTACATTTGCAAAATCTATCATGAATCGTTAAAAGAAAAAAAAATGCTAAAAAAGCTTGCTTTTATAATGCATCTACTAATTTTCTAAAGTCCCAATACTAATTTTATACAAATCCAATTTCACTCCATATTCAATGATATGAAACTTTAATACGAGTACAAAATAACTTTACCCTCTCGTTGGTTTTTCTGTTCCTACGCAAAATTGTACCCATTTGAACCAACGTCTATTTGTTTATCGATCGACAGATTACATCCGCCTCTACTTCGGTCCCTTGTAGAATTTTTCAGAAATTTTTTCCTTTTTATCATTTATTCCCAACATTAGTTTCATATATTAATCGTACACACGTATATGATACAATATTTTTGTGCCTGGCAGTATCTGGCAAATACGCGAGGAGCAACGATATGAGATAAGCGTGATATGAGAGAATTTTGTTTTGTATACAATATTTTATTTTCCCCTTCTTTTACTCTTCCTCTTCTTCCTCTTCTTCGTCATCATCTTCTTATTCTTCATCTTCTTCTTCTTCTTCTTCTTCTTCTCATTATTATTATTATTATATATATATATATATATATATATATATATATATATATATTTATTTATTACTTTTTTTTATTTATTATTTTTATTTTTTATTGTAAATTTCAGAAAACGCATCGCTTTGACCTTAACAGTATTACATTTAAATATAAATCAAGGTGTCCCAATCACCCTTGTATTATAATTAAACACTTTTATAAATGTAGTAATTGAAAAATTAATGCAAAGGTAAAATCGATCGCCATTCATTACATATAATTTTTATAATTTCAGTATAAAAATGTTATCGACAATTCACTTAACTTCGTTATATCAGTTCTTATATTTTACCGGTGTTATCGGAAGCTATGAACCGTGTGAAATAATTGGAGAAAGTAACGGAGACTATGTTTTTTTCTTTCTTTATTATCATACTCGTCTATAAAAACTTATTTTTATGGTTATACGTAGATTTAATAATTGAAGATTGTCGATATTGATAAAATGAACCAGAAAAAACGATTTTTCATGGTTATTAAATTTTTGCACTACAGATTGATTTTGTATTTATAAATTGTCGGCAGGCTTAATGTTTAAAACTTACATAACGATATAAATTAACATTAGTGCGTAACTGTCGTATTTTAAAAACTAATTTTTCCTTATACTTTTTAGATTATTAACATATCGAAAATTCGCTAGATTTATGCTCTTCACTTTTTTGTTTTTTTTTTTCAACTTTTACACGTACACGGTAGAAAAACGAAAATTGCTTTCATACGCATGACTTTATACGTATCACCAATATTTTTATTAATATTTTTTCTTCTCATATCTTGAAAAATATCGGATTGCATAATTTTTGCCAGTCAGGCGCGCGCGCGCGTACACACACACACACACACACAATCAAAACAATGAATTACTATGGAGGCAGCCACTTAACCGAGGCGCGACGCATTCGTTTTTACTCTTTTAATTTTGATTGTATCTGCGTAAATAATAAAAAATATATAAACAAATCCTTGAGTGATATGATGTATTGTGATAATAATAATAATAATAATAATAATAATAATAATAATAATAATAATAGTAATAATAATAATAACGAACGTCACAGATATGTCGATGTTAATCTTCAACTATTGTCCATGCAATTTTATCTTATTTATTTATTTCCTTTGTATTTCGTTATATTATTAAGGTTTTAGTTTGGTAACTAAGTATGTAAATCATAAAATTAAGTAGTTTCTCAGTTAAAAGTGAGCGTCAGAAGTGTTTTGCAATTAAAGCTCTCAATGATAATTCAAGTTTCGTAAGAGTCCTTTATTAATGCACCCGTTACTTCATTCGATAATTCATTATTATTCTTCATTTTATTCATTATTTTAACGAGAAATTAATACGTAACATAAAAGATACGGAGAACAAAAACAAAAACAAAAACGAAAAAAATAGAAAAAAGAATGAAAGAAAGAAAAAATGACAAAATACTATTTACGATTAAAATTCTCAATAATATAAATGCTTTAACCATGCTCAGGCATTACATTTGAATAAACCATATTGCGAATATGATCGCTAACAAGAGAATATGAGACAATGAATCAATAACATTTGCAAATTATGTACCGCATACTCATACGCATTGCGTCGTACAAATGCCAATAGTTGGCTTATAACCATTTCTTTAATAGCTTACTCTCGTTATCATGGGCATGCTCGATGCCGCTGGAAGTATCGAATAATTAATTATTAATAAATAGTCGTCGAAAGAGCAAATTATTCGCGATTAATGTGATTTTTAGTTGTAGGAATTCTTTGACGGGCACAGAAGCGCGTTGAACATTTCGAACGAAGGTCGCCTCTTCATTCTGGCAGTGTTATTAATCTTTCTTCCAAGTTAGTTAAATCTACGTTAATTAGGAGACTCGATGAAATCAATTGCTTCATCAATCAATATCGAAGAACCTGATGTACAAATTTTAATGTAAAAAAAAAAAAAAATCGGTATTCACAATTAGGCGAGCTTATTGCTTAATAAAATGGCACTCATTGCTGCGAAATATATTTTCTTTCGAGTATCGTTGGATGCTTCACCATTCTCCTTATTTCACCTCTTGCTTCATCCAGCCGATTTGTTCTTTCAACCTTTTCTTCTTTCTCTACAGATTCTCTAGTCCTCTCGATTCACGAGTCCCGACCTAAGAACAACAGATTTTTTGCGGATTTTCAGCGCTAGACGCGGAAGTCGTTACGAAAGGCAACGCGTGATCGACAAGCTTCAATAAAATTCCTCTTCAATGTGTATGTATGTGTGCGTATTATCAAGTCAAATGGGCATCCGACTTATCCACCTCAAAAAATCTTTTTCTCAAATTTCGTTTCAGTTACCGTAAGCTTTATATGCTTATACGCTTATCTAGGCTCTCGCGCAATAATATAAAAGTCGACATTAGAAATTAATTTAATAATACATAAATAAGTCCAGAAAATAAAAATCACACGACGCATGTATTCAATTATTCGATTCTGAATTCCATAATTTGTTTCCCACTCCCCCCAATTCCAATCGAATCTTCCAAACCCTCCAGCCGTTCGTTATCTGACTCGTTCTTTCATACGCATAGTTCCACGTACGTAAGTTACGTATGAATTCGCCTGACTCTTGGCAGCATCACAATCGCATTCCGAAAATGTAAATAATGGCGAGCGAGCGAGAAGCGCAATCGCGCGAGAGCCCAAGTACAGAAAAGCAGACGACCTGTGATACTTACAAACCGGCCACTCTAGCGCAATATCACTAACGCGAGCTGCCCGCGGACTCGCGAGTGAACCTTCGCAGCATCCGCCGTCCCCTTCCCCTTGCTCCCACCTATTCGCCACAAACTCATCACGTACACGCACACACGCACGCACGCACGCACGCGCGCACACACACAGAGGCACCAGGCACACGTACACGCGCACTCTCTCTCTCTCTCTCTCCCTCTCTCTCTCTCTCTCTTTAAGTATTGGCGCTTGAAGAAGTGTAACGATACAAGGGGGACAGAAGATAAATGGAAATAAGCGTCGCCGAGCGTTCGAGCGATAATGGTCATTCGTTGAGCACTGGGCGAGGAAGAGTCTATCGGACGAGGCGGGACTCGTGGAAGCCATTGTTGAGCTGCCCTTGGAAGCGCGCCGGCACGAGCATCGTCGTCGTCGTGGTCGTCTGATGTTGTTGGCGGTGGTGGTACTGGTGCTGGTGATGTTGTTGGTGCTGGTGGTGTTGTTGGTGGTTGTGGTGGATCGTATGCGTCGGCGAGTCGCCGAGCATCGCTAGCATATACTTGCGCGTGGGCGAGTGCACCGATGAGTTGGCGGCCACGGCTGCGGCGACGTTTTTTGGGCCGGTATGTTAGGGTGGGACGTACGGGGGCGGCTTCCTGTACGTCGGGGTCGGTTTCGGCCGGTTCTGGCGGCTGTTCTCGCGATTAGTGGCGAAGGGGGGTGGCGGCTGGTACGGCTCCTCAGAACTCTCTTTCGAGAGCATAGGGATGTCGGCACCGTCCTCGGCGCGCTGGTACTCCGGCGGTGGAAGCGGGGGCTTCTCCTCCTTCAGGATTATCGGCGACTTGTTGCCTGAAAACGAGATAGCAAACATCCGTTAATTCATCATACCTTTCTTAGCAGCCAATTTAGCAATTTACGTGTCATCGGCCATTTATATGCTGCGAGACTTTTATTTACGACTTTTAGTCGCCGATGTCGAGGGTCAGTCGGCGAAATTGGCCTTTTGGAAGTAATCCCCAGAATGAGTCCCGATCTCTCTTAATTTTCCTCTATTTAGTTGCCTTACTTGGATATCGCATGGAGGGACGGCGAGATAACGTAATTTTATTTTTTCGGCCGTAATGTCGACGGCGTGGGTGTTTCGCGTTATTGAACCACGGTGAGGTCACGGTGAGTCTACGGTGAGGCCACGGCAAGGCCACGGTCAGGGATCGACGCGAACTGACTTAAAACAATAAGCGATACGTACCTGGATCGGGTTTCTCGTCGAGCTCGTCCTGGAAGATCACTGGTATACCCTTGCTACGGAAGCTCTGTCTCTCGTCGTCCTTCTCGCTTACGCTCATCTTCCCGCTTCTCCTTCGCTTGTACAGAATGCAAGCGATTAGCCCGGCGAGCAGTAGCATAGCTACGATGATGATGGCCGGCAGGACGAAGGTAATGAGATAGTCGTCGTGGGTGGCTCCGACGGAGGTCGAGTCGTCGAGGGGCGGCATCTCGGGGCGACCGATGCCGACGTTGCCGCATGCGCCTGTGCTGCCTACGGTGATCTGTATAACGGCAAAGTCCGGCTGATGGCTGTCGCTGTTGAACTCGCGGTCGAGCTCGTCGCTGAAGCTCTTGTTGTCGTTAACGAGGACGCGACGCAGCCGCGTTATCTCGTCGCTCGGGCACTCCTGCGTTGGCAAACTGAGGTTCCGCCAGATTACGGTGGTCGTGTCGTGATTGCCGTTGATAGAGAGGATGGAGATGGCGCTCGCGTTCTTGTCGCCGTAGAGCCGCTGCAGCTTGTGGATGAATTCGCGCTTTTTGAGGGCCGAGTGGGCGAACGCCTCTAAGGGCATGTTCAGCGTCATCGATATCTCGACGACGTGACGTAGCATAGGCGCGCTATGCACTTCGGCTACGAGGCTGTCAGTTGCTTCCAAACCTACGCTCAAATCTCAGCCTCTTAACATTTGGATTTTTGATAAACAAGGTTTGGGTTGAAAGGTTAAACAAGGGGGGAGGAAGGATTAATTTTAATTATTAATGCTTATGGCAAGCAAGCAAGTGAAAGAAGCCCGAAGATCTATACGGCTCACGAGATTTAAACGAGCTATTTATATTTTAAGCCTTTAGGATATCCATGGATCTTCTCTCTGCGTAAATTGGGTGAAAGTTTTGACGAGAAAACACAGATGTGGAAGGGGGACTTTATGTTTTGTATTACAAAATTTTTGAAACTCTTGTCTCGGTATACGATTTTCATTTCATCTTAATATCATCAACTTACCTTCTCTATCTTTAACGATCAGCTGATATGTTTTACGCCCGATATCTTGTTTCAAAGGTACGCCATAAAATTCTTGATTATTACTGTCAAATTGTAGCCAATCCCATTGAGGTATTTCAGTACGATTAGCAGTCAGTAGGGATGCTTTCATACTTCCGGTATCGCCATCCTCTTCGTCGAAGAACGTGTCCTGATTGTAAAGCAGTAATAATATTTATAATGCGCGACGGTAGCATGACAATGTCATTTTAAATCTCTCTTTAAACATTACAGTTTTATCGTTAAAGTGTAAGCCTCCCCCATCGTCCCCAGTCAACCAATCATTTGTCTATTGTCAATTCATACGGAAAATAACAGTACTATCAATTTTAATTTTTTTTTTTAAATTCTATAATTTTAATATTATAGATATTAGAAAAATGTCGAGCAACGTCGCGTCTATAGTACTATAAAAGGTGTCGAAAATAGTCAAACAAATATTAAATAGATACCATAATACTCTTATCATTAATTTATCCCCACCAATGCAATTTATACATTCTAAATGATAAAATAGTATTAGTTTACCTTTGGTACTCTGTACACAAATAATTGACCCACGGTGGCATTTAATTGGTCAATTTGATTTCTTGGTACAGGGAATTTATTGATTTGTGTTTCCTTTGACTGCTGGCATTGCTCTAAGCCTTGATAGACTACTCGCTTCGGCTTTATTTCGGGACCCAAAACACGCATTAAGCCTTCGCTTGGATCTTCCGTCTTTTCGTCATGAACAAGAACCTATTGGAAAGCATTAATTTGTATTTGTACAAGATAAAATATTATTAATTGCACGAGGATTGAAAGAAGTTTGGGTTTTGTTTTTACTTAGAATATAGAATATGAGAAATTGGACTCGCAACAAATATTCAATGCCTCAAAAGTATGGTGAAAAAATTTGTTAGCTTGACAATTTTTTTACCCAAACATACTTTTATTCATACACGCACACACACACTTAAATGTTTAGATATATTTCTAAGATTGTAGACCGGATGGAAGTAATTTCAAGTAGATCGTTAAATAATTAGGTCGAATTGTAGAAATTCTATTGAAAAGCGTAAAATACATTGGTTCAACTAACTCGATATAGCCTATTGATCTCTTCCTGGGGGCAGGTGCTTGACCTCGCCAAGCTATCATTCGTCCACGTATAAATCGCTTGATCACGATCAATATCGATGGATCGAACGGTTATGTAGTTCAGATCGGTATCCCCGTATAATTCAGCCAAACTTCGCATTACCTGTAAAAATCCATATTATAATCTTCTTTTTTCTGCATTATTATTCGCAAAAGGAACGGACTTGCTGGTAATATTATAACGATCTAATTATATTTTATGTTTGTATTTTGATTTGAGTAATTATCATATATCGTTTATTACAATAATTTTCAAGGTGATCATTTCTGTTTAACAATATTCACGTCTTAAACAATTTGTATTATGACATTCTTGTGATATTATATCAGATGGATCAAGATATCATAAATAATTGTAATATAAGTCTTTAATACGCGTGCTTTGTCTATCATATTATTTGAAAATTCATGTAACTTTTCGTTCTAATGCCTGTTACTCTTACTCTTCATCTAAGTTACTCTATCATTCGATATTTTAAATAGTTCGAACGAGTGCCGCTGCTAACCTTTAATTCCCAATCCACGTTTGTCTTGAATTCACTCCTCTTTTCAATTTTCAGATAAAGGTGAAATTCATGATTCATAGCTCTAATCTGTTTATGTTGCTGCACGGAAACATCAAGTCTGTTACTTGCGGTTAGACCTTCGCTATCAATAGCTCTAATTTCAAAAGCAAATGGTCCGTAATATTCTTCAAGAGGTCTGAAAGGCAAACAAATTACATGTATTAAGAAGAAAAATAATAATAAATACATAAATAAAATAAATCGAAATATTAATAAATACATCATAATTCAGGATTGAAGCTTTGCGTATAAATAGTAAAAATTTACATGCAATATTAATTAATGTAAAAAGTATCATAGTCTTCTTCAAAACTATGATCAACTATTATATTATGTTGCAATGATTTTTCGAATTTGATAAATAATAAAAATATTCGATTAACATTATTTCTCCCCATATGGTATTAAAGTATCACAGGTATCTGTATTATCCATTATAAAAAAGTAATCTACTTTATCGATCACGCAGATCATACTTGAGATTTTATTTTTATTAATTATTGACCTGGTACAATAATATAATTGATCTTAATTCGAATTTCAAATAAATGCATCAATAACAATTTAACTATTATCTAATAGTATTTTAATTATACAAAAAAAATTAAAGAAAAATCAATAAATTAATTGATTAATAATGAAGTGTATATATATATATGTATAAACGTTATATTGTATTTTTATTACTAATATTAAACTACATTTTCACGACTGAATAGTCCAAGATATGGAATCAAATATTTTATCTCTCTCTCTCACACACACACACACACACACACACACACACACACACACACAAAACTTTAAAATCCATTAATATCTTATAGAAAGTTGTAATGATGATGAATGATGAATGAAGAATTCTTTTCTTTTTTTTTCTAAATTAAGTATACTCTGCGGCATGTTATGTCAGTGAAAAAAGAAGAAAAAAAGAATAAAAGAAAGAAAAGTCTTTGATGCAAAGGAGAGACAAAATAGGCATGCATGGAAAGGCATGTCAATTTCACGTTCTTGGGGAGAATTTCCAACAACTTTGAAATTGTTTTCTGCATATTCACTATTACGGGGGGCTCGGCAAATATTACTCCGATTAACGCGTTTGTCTCACCCATCACTTTCTCTCAAACTTTCCGAATTCTAAATGAATATTGTAGCCTTTCAAATAGTTACACTTCAGTTACAAAGAGACAAAATGCTACAGACTATGGGAGTGCGAGTCCTATATATTTCTATATTGGATAGAAGATGAAAATTTTGTAGATAATTTGCATTATATCGAGTTGCGCTGTATAATGTAAAATGTAAAAATGACTATGACACAATGGGTTAGTCGGGCGAATATTGATAATAAATAAACTGCAATTACGGGTGTGGAACGAACTTTAAACTTACAATCCGTAAACTTCTTGGGTGTCCTCATTGAATTGCAGCCAATAAGTTGACTTGAGGGGCGCTCCTTTCTCATAGATTCTGAGTCTTAATTGTCTAGTGTTTCCATCCTCGGGATCGCTGAAAGCGTCCTCGGGTATCGTGTAGCTCAGTAATTTGCCCTGGGTTATCGGGATCTTCTTCAGTCTTGATTCTACTTTGGGTGGGAAGTTGCGCACGCCATACTCAATTTTTAGAGTTTCCGTAGTGCTTGGTTGCGATTGTTTAGTTGTCGCCGCCGTCGTCGTCGTTGTCGTCGTCATCATCGTGGTCGTAGTGGTCGTGGTCGTCGTCGACATCGTAGTCGTCGTCGAGGTGGATTCTGGCATCTTAGTCGTGGTATTAGTACTACTAGGCATCGTCGTTGACTCACTGGTGGTAGTATTGGGAACTATCGGAGTAGATGGGGTTGTTGATATCGTTGTTGATAATGTCGTTGTGCTGTTGAAATTCATTTAGTCATAAAGTATATTATTTTGTGAAGGAGCATTCGTTAATTTATAAGAAATTTAGTTATTTGGCTGTAGTGTAAATTCTATGTTAAGTGAAACGGAAGTCGAAATAATTTCGCAAATTAATTGACGCACTAATGTCGATGTTACGTAAGATAATTAATTTTGCTTGTCGTAATTCGTACATTTTTTAAATTGTATTTTGAGAATTGACCTTGAGTTAGCTTTATTAATCATGAAAACTTTTATATTTCTCAAGAAATAATTGATTCTGTAGGGAATAAATACGTAATATTAGTTTTAAAAGAAAAACCCAAAGGCAACAAGAAACATATAAGTAATTAATTAAATGCAAAATAGAGAAGAGTCGTTAATCCGTAAAGTAATCAGCTGAGTTTCATTGTTGCGATTGATGGTATATAAAAACTTTATAACTTGTAGGACAGAAGGCCAAAGTACCTTGTAGTGCTGTTGGTCGAATTGTACTCGGGTATATGAATACCTTCGACGGGATCGAAAGATCTTGCGGGTACGCTCTCCGTCACATTATCATTCCACTGAGAAGTTGTAAAGTTTACGATTAATGGAACTTCCCTCGAAGGCACGAAAGCGTCCGTATACTAATAGAAAAAAGTCAAACATAAGTAACGAGCCTCCCTCGTGCATCCCGTCGTTTATTACTTTCGTTAATGTTACACCATTACTCGTATGCGTATAATAAAAAACAAAAAACAAAAAAAAAAATAGAGTAAACTATAAAACTCAAAGTTGATAAAGAGTACCTGTTGAAACAGAAATTATTATATGCCATAGTGAGCTGTACAATAAAAAACGAAAGATTACACAGAAAATAATGTGTACGCGTGATGCGTGAAAGAATGATCGGTGCTAAGATTTAGGTGCGACAATAATGATGATGATGATGATACTCTTTGAGCGTATCACGAATAAGCAAATAATATACATATATGCTACCTTTATTGCAATACTGTAAACGTCAATTCTTTGCTTTCGTTTCATTGGCTGCGGCGACTGTTAAATGTGAGTTTCAGCTTTAATTTCCGACTCTTTTTTTTTCTCTTATCTTTTTGTTTTTGAACTTTGGCTGTTGCAGGGCTGTTAATTGAAAAATTTTCAATACATACGTTAATAGAGACCGTTAATGAGCACGTGTTCGAGATATTTAATGTTATCGTTGTGAAAATTTCGTCGTCTCGGCAGGTTCAGCAAAACTGTCGGCTGTCTTGGGACACAGTCTAGCGTACCGAGACTGATGAATATTGCATGTTTAGTGTAATAGTCAAGTAGTCGCGTAGTCCGTAAATGAAATTGCACAATCGTAGGAATTAGAAGTTAATGATCCGCGGCATTGCAGATTTCGTTGACCGGTCAGTAACGACGACGAGGCGCTCGAGAATTCAATCGTTACAGTATTGCGCCAGAGGCAAAGTGGGGTGAGAATTGTGCGTGAATGAGTTTCTACTCGTGCAAAATCCGATAAACGTGTGTTTACAAACATAAAGTGATAGAGAAGCCCACTATAAAAAGAAAAGAAAAGCCAACTAAACTGTACAAAAGAAAAAATGATGGTGGATGAGTGGGTGGGCGGGTGGGGGTAGCTGATCGCGCGACGATGGGCGAGGGCACGCGTAGCAGAGCTTGCAAATAAGCATTACCTCCTCCGTGGTAGCATTTACAACAGTGAGAATCGACGTGACGTTGGGGTCGAATGTTGGTAGCAGCCCCTCGGCGATGCTTGCACCAGAGCCCGAGGCCGTCGTCGATTCCGAGACGACGAAGATGTTCGGCTGCATGGACGTCGTTATGTCGGATTCCGTCTCACTCTCCAAGTCTTCCTTAGTTGTGAGCGAATCTTCGTTGTCCATCGTTGAGCGCACGTCCGTTGAGACGTTGTTGCTCGATGTTGATTGGAAGACAGAGTTGGTCGAAGGTTGCGTCGCATTAGTATCGGCCGATGATACTGGCGTCTCTGTGGTTAAGCTTTCGATTGTGCCGTCGAACGTTGTTCGAGCTGTTGTCGTCGTCGTCGTCGTCGTCGTAGTTGCGTTAGCGATCGTTGGATTAGATGGTTCTTGAGGCGTTATGCTCGAGTTCGAGGGTTCTGCAGTTGCTATGGATGTCGTCGTCGTTGAAGAGTCGCTCGTTGCGGTTGCGGTTGCACTTGCACTTTTTGTCGTTGAGGATGATGGTGGTGTTGTTGTTATTTCTGCTGCTACTGCTTCTGTTGTTGTTGTTGTTGTTGTTGAGGATGATGATGACGTCGGTGTTGGTGTTGGTGTTGGTGTGGGTGTCGATGTCGATGTCGATGTCAATATGGATGTGGATGGCGATGACGTTGATGACGGTGATAACGTAACAGCTATAGTCTGCGAAATGTTAGTAGATGCGATGTGTGGCAGAAATTACTGTTAGTTACGAATTGTGAAAATTTTCGTTGCTCTTTTCTGCTTTGCCTCGTGAGACTGTACATCGAGCTAAGTATTTACCTCATGCTGATCGACTAATATGTTCTAACATCGACCAAACTCATTACAAAAGTGCGACCAAAGTCTGTAAATTATTGACTTTACGTAAGCGAAAGGTTACGTTCTTTAGGGGCGCATGATTTTGTAATAAAATTCAGCCGATCGTGCAAAGCGACATTTTATCTACGTGACATTTCACTTTAACAGGCAATACTAATATTTTATCTCTCTCTCTCTCTCTCTCTCTCTCTCTCTCTCTCTCTTTCTTCTTCTTCTTTTTTGTCTTTTTTTCTTTCTTTCTTTTATCATATACTCAATGTGGTGTCGAATACTGGGTATTCTTTTTTACAGTGGACATGAATAAGTACATATGTATACTTCTTCTTTTTTGTCTTTTTTTCTTTCTTTCTTTTATCATATACTCAATGTGGTGTCGAATACTGGGTATTCTTTTTTACAGTGGACATGAATAAGTACATATGTATAAACCCGCAAGAGATATGGTGCAAATTTTCATAAAGCTTATTATTATTATAGACAGACACTAGAAGCGCTTATAAGTACTATCTTCACAAGCGTTTAGAAAAAGATCTCAGAGCTTTTGTGCAGCCGATATAATACATACAAAAAAAAAAAAATAAAAAAAAATACTCTCGTTTCTCGTTAGAACTGGGCCTGCGAGTAGTAACGAGGATCGTAATGAAAATTAAAAGCCTTCTATGTAGATCAACTATCAAACAGCCATAGGCGATGCTTCGGTTAATTTTTGTTTCAAGACTTACGGATGGAGTTGACGGGGTCGTGGCGCTCGCCGTCGTCGAATTGAAAATGGCGTTATCGATCCCCTCGTTCCTCCATACGAAGTCCTCTTCGTTCTTTAAAAAGAGTTTATTTGCCTAAAGTTTACAAGTCTGTCTCTAGCGGCAGTGGGTGTGGAGTCGTGGAGACGGGATGGGGGCAGGGAGGGGTTAAGCATCGAGGATAGCCCCGAGTAACTCGAGTCCACTTACGTTGATGTCGGCGCCGATGCCGGCGATGCTGTCCTCGCCGTGATGGTGCCTGTGCGGGTGCTCGTCGACGACGCCTGTCTGATGTCCGGTGGTCTTCTGCTTGGGTTGCTGGGGCGACTCAGTGATACCCTCGTTAGTGTCATAGTCCTCGTCGTCGTACTCCTCCTCGTCGTACTCATCTTCCTCCTCGTCTGGGAGGAAATTGTCACCCGAGCCCGTGGTCTCGCGCCGATTGCGCTCATAGCCGTTCGAATCGCTCCAGACGCGCCACTGGTACACCGGGAGCTGCATCACCTCCGACAAGGTTCCGTCCATCGCCTGCTCCGGTATCAGCTTGATCGTGTTAATCTCGTGAGGCCAAAAGTGACCGTCGCAGCCAACCTACGGGGGCGCTCGATAAGCCACAAGTTCGTATTTTAATATTTAAAAATTTAACGAGCTTCGTCCTGCCTCGGGTACGCTACTCCGTGTAATACTCACCTCGCAGCTTCGTAGCCGTTGCCCTTTACTTTTTGCCCATCGCTATATTTTCTCGATATTGCTTTAACGCGACACCCAACATGTTAAGTCCATTTCAACTATTTCAAAATAACGACATTAAGGCTCGAAGGACGAGTGCCGGCGTCCTTTGCAATTTGTAAATCGTTTCTTCATTTATATTCGTTGACTATAGTTTAGTTCGCTGATTATATTACCTTAGTTAGAGGCTAAAAAATGATTGGTTGGCCGTTTTTTTTTATTTTTTGGCGTGTCACCCGTTAAATAGTGAGAGAAAATTTTTAGACTGCAGTTCTTTGGTCGTATAATACATTTCCATAATAAATTGACGCAAAATTTTTACAATTATATGTATCATAATGAAGTTATTAAATACAGCCACTATAAATAGACTCGTATGGTAATTAGTGTGCGTGCATCTCTGTGAATTTGAATGAGTAGTATCACCGCGACTGATTAAACGATCGATTTCAATTGTTTGTTTGTTTTTTTTTTAATGGAATTTTTGACAAGTCTCGAATGGCAAGTTAAAAATGGAGAATGCGAGAGCAGCTGAGATAACGACGGTAAATATTTGCAGTGACATCGTGGGCGGTAATGAGAAACGTTGTTGGGACTAATATTTTTAAGGGACAAATTTATTAACATAGTTTTTAGGAAAACTTAGAGAGCATAGAGCGTCGAGCGAGCCGTAAGCAGGAAAACTGCTTTGAATATTTAACCAAGCAAAGTGTCGCGAATGAAAATTTCACTGCCAAGCCAAGTACAAGAAATTTTCCAGCGGTGTGCAGTGGTCTGTACAGCTGTCGCGTGTCTCGCAACTCTATTCTTGTCGCATCGCAACAATGACGGAAAATGTACCTCATAGTTTTGTCGAGACGCTCTCGAGCATCCAATCGGCCTCCCCTCGATACCAACCATTTTCTATCGCCCCCTTCTCCCTACCACCTCATCCCGTTCTCTCGCTTTCGCATCTGCAATGACGATTAATGCGGGCTCGCGTGTCTCGCATCTTTTCGTTTAATGATACTCGCCTGCCTTGGGAGAGAAAAATCTTTAGGCATTAATGTTGTAAATTAACAGTGAAAGCTCATGGCGGCCAGAAGACATTCCTCGCGAGTTAAAAATTGCTAAAAGCGCTCCTCTAAACTCGTGGAGTGGTACCTCCACGAGATCCTCCCCAGTCGCGATGCTAAAGCCTCGGCCCCCTCGACAGCTCGGGCGACGAGGGAATCCTCCACGTTCCATCACTCACCTGCCATTGCACCAGCGTCGAATGCTTTTCTCGGCGTCGGCTGATGTTCCCCGGTCCCGAGAGTACGACCGACGAGCCGCCGTTGCTCAGCGGACTGCTGGAATAGAGCTTCTCCGAGTCCGGGTACATGGACAACGAGCTCTGTGAATCCAGAAGAATACAAACGCATTACAATAATGATTACTCCGACGTTGGTTCATCTTGACGCTCTCATTCACTCTGTCTCTCTCTCTCTCTCTCTCTCTCTTTCACTCTCTCTCTCTCTCTCTCTCTCTGTCCTCCCTCCCCTCTGCTTCTCTTCTCACCACTTTGCCTTTATATTACAAAGCACTTCTTATCCGAGACTCGAGTCGAGTGGGACGAATGGCGCTGCCCTTGTAGCCTGAATATTTAAGTGACACGAGGCTGGAGGAGGAGTAAGGGGCGGAAGGAAGAGGCACAACGGTCGGGCGTGACAAACGCGCGAATAGATAAGTTTGGTTAATGACGCGTTTAATAAAACCGGGAGTTGGCCCTGTTAATTCGATAAATTATTATACTTAAGCGAGGCTCGGGCCTTTATCACAATGCCGGCCGGTTTATATGCGCTGCAAACCATCTCGGGCTTTAATAAATAATCGAGTTTACGAGGTGCGAAGGCAGCATATTATATCCGAGTAATGCGATTAATTGATACTCGGCCCGTTGAAAATCTAGTCGACTTTTTACCAGAGCTCGAGGCGCTTTGCACTTCCGTTCCATTGCTTTATAAATGAAAGTATTGCCGGTGTCGTTATAACGGGGATGCTGTTATGCGTCGAGAAGTAGCAAAATCTGACCGACGGCACACCATAAGAATATCCAATTCGATGGGCAAGAAGTCCGAGATCGTTATTTACGACTATGATTTTTACTACTGAGCGTAACGTCATTCGTTGGGAAGAGATTCGTTGAGATGAATAGAGGAAGAAAATTCCTCAGACTATAGTCGATCTTGAAAATATTCAAAGTATATTAAGAATGAAGCTTCTCTATGCTTTTATATTATTAGCATTAACATAATCTTTATCATTATTATTATTTCATTTAATTATTAGGAGATGAAAGGAAGCTTTAATGTAAGAATATAATGTCGACTGATACGAATGTAACGGTTATTGTTTCATTATTTAATGGAATTTCGCTAGAACGCGAACCTCATGATATATTGCAATGTAATCGCAACAGTTTTAAAGATTAGTACGTACTCTGTCGCATCTACATCGCTAAATTTGCAAATGTAAAAGTGCTTTTACGACAGCCCCCCCCCCATATTTGTATTTTTTTTATTTTTGTGCCAATAACGTGCAATTAATACGATATTGCGCTATAAGGGAAAAAAATAAGTAATCTTCATCAAACATAATGCTTAGTAATTTATTGAAAAAAGAAAAATTATTGTTTTAATAAAAATGTGTTATTTTTCCATTAATATTAATATAAATTGTGGCTTGAATAAATTTTGAAAGTTCAATTTACCATGTTATGCGTGTAAGTTGATACGCATACTTTTATTCTTTGTGTGTACAATTTTCCTCGAAATTTATTATTATCCCTTTTATAGGTAAATATTATGGAGAATTTTTTCCCTTAAAAACCCCCTCGTAAAATTCAATAAAATATTTGGCAAATTTTTTTGAATAATATTAATTAGCCATTTACCGAGTAACAAGATTTATTTCCCTCTGTTGGCATATATTCGATCGCTTTAATTCTTCAATTCGGCCTTTAATTCTGAGAAGAGTAAGCAATTACATTAAAAAAAAAAAAAAAAAAAAAAAAATGGATAATTCTGATTTCCACGGACATAATTATCGCAGTAATTACAAATGCCGTGTGAATTCTATAGAAATTTCCGTGGAAATTAACTTTGTCACTGTTTGAAAACATATCGATCGACCAATCGTCTCAATTCATAATCAGAATTGTCAAATCCTTAAGAATGCCATCGAGCCCATTATCGCCTGGGACCATTTATGCGCACTTGGGTGCTTAAAATGGCATCGAAAGGACTCGATATGCTAAACGAGCAATAAAGACGCTGGTGAAAACAACTTGGTGGAAGTGGTTCCGTGGTGATTCCGCGGCTTATCAAGAGCAATTTGCTCTATGATAATTGAGAAACGCGAGCGCAACGCGAAACAACGAAACCCGCAATATTATATTAATTAAGCGGTGCCGGCCAAGTGCTCGGCAACGAAGCCCGGATTTGCCGTGCTCTCGGTCCTGGCTAGGTAGCGGTGCTCGAGCACTCGTGCTAATCTCCTGGAACAGGCTGTAAGGCTTCGTCGATAAATTGCACCAATTGAGACTTGTTAAGAGAGTGGATGCGGATGCGGTTCGGCCCTCATTAACCAAAAGAGAGGGCGGCGAAATAAATCCGGTGAGGGAAGGAAAGTCCGATTAGGTGGATTAGGTGGTAGAGGAGGAGGAGGATGTGGATGAGTAGGTGTTACGGCGAGTACAAACCGTGTGCAGTCCCAAGAAGCCGGCGAGGTTCTCGAGCGCGTTGACCTTGGTGCTCGGATTGAGGCTGTCGTACCTCGCATCGATCAGGATCGTCAGCATTGTGCGGTCCTGCTCCTCTCGGCATGTTTTCTGTAAGTTCAAAAGGTATAAAGTGGCTCGCGGGTAAATTGCCGTCGGTCGGCGACGATACACGAGTGGGCGACCCGAGGACGCTCCGCTCGAGCTTTATCTCTCCTCACGACCAGCAATTCGTCTTTCGCCCATCTCCGAGAGCTTTAATAACTTAACGTCGCGAGACGACGTTTGATCGATCGTCCGAACGTGCTCGCCATTATGACGTTTGAATTCAGGTGCCATTGGCCTCTTAATGTTAAACGCGTTCGCGCAAAAGTATGCAATAAAGCCGAGAGGATTTTCCTTCCTCCGCTCGGAAAACCCTCTTTATTGAAAAGAGGGTGGTGGAGTGTAAGATTCGATGGGAATGTAATGCGCGATTGCCCGGCAGTCGGGTGGTGGGTTACGATAGAAGCCCTGACGATGGGAGTGACATCGAATATATCTATATATCTCCGATACGCTACTTAAGATCGTTTAGATCGCCCGGATTATTAATATTAAGGCTGGAAATTAGTAAATGCCGTAAAAAAAAGAAAATAAAAAAAGAAAAGAAAAAGAAAAAAAAGTCGATATACTAAGGTAAAGTAGTTTGTGAAAGGACGAGAAATACAATGATGGTGAGATGATACCTTCCCGTCGCCGTGCTTGTAACGCTCGCGATTCTCCGGCACCACATGGATGGTGAAGGAGCCTTGGGCCACCTCCTCGTTTTTCCCGTAGGCGGTGATGCTTATGGGGTTGCGTGCCAAATCCTTGCGGGAAGGCACGCCGCTAAGGACGTTGGCCGGCTCGTCCCAACGCAGCCAACGAGGCAGAGTCTTGCTCCCAAGGCCGTGTGCCTGCAATACATTATGACAGCGATTTTTCAATTCCTTTTGAAGAATGTTGTTGGTGGTTGGTGGTTGGTGGTTGGGGGAAGGGGGACGGGGGTGGTGTGAAGGAGGAGAGAAAACGAATAAAAAAGGTCTTCTCCTCTATGTCGTTTGGAGGGTACTTCGTTCACCGGCCACGGGGGCATTTCTCCAATTCAGGCTCTGGCTTTCTTTCCCCTTCCACCCGACAAGAGTAGCCAGCAACTTCAGGGCAATTTCGCATGGCGTACATCGGGGAAAAGCGCTTCGTCGAAGAAAAATGATTTAGACTGGGAGATGAACTTTGAACGAATTTATCGGAGCTTCTTCTTGAGAAAAGCAACCAACAGCAAAGGCGAGCTCGAATTTTAAACAGCCGCACTCCGGCTCTCGAGTATACAAGGAGAAAGGAGCATCGGGACACGTGCGATACACAACTTGTAATTTATGCAAGTTGTAAGATCGTAAAAGTTTAGCTGTGAAAATCCTCTCATTTTATGTACAGCGCATGCATATTTATTGACACTTTATACATCATTGATTCTATATTAGAGTATAAAACATGAATAATAATTAATAATAATTAATAATATGAAATAATAAGTGAAATAATATGAAGAACAACGATAATTTTGAATATTTCAAATCTTGTTGATAAACTTGCTAATTACAAATGCTGTTTGGTTTTTGAGTATTGAAAAGAAGTTTCACAAATTGATGTCCCTTTATAGAGTATTTGTTGGATTAGTATTATTATTATTATTATTATTATTATTATTATTATTATTATTATTATTCAATCTACGCTTTGATAACTCTTCCAACCCTTTTCAATTAAATATATGCATTGGATGGATATTATAAAAGTTTGCCAACTTTAAGCATTTTCAAGAGCTTTCGCATCCATCATGTTCTTCTTCGGTCTCTTGCTTTTATAAATTCTGCATCTCTCTATTTATTTCATTAGATTCTCATTAAATACTATTTAGTGAAAGCATATTAATTCGTACGACGAAATTATTTCATTCGATCGCTATTTTTACGATCAAAGTAGTATTAAAACATTTAATTCGCTACTAATTTATGTTATTGCCAGATCCCATCGCATCCTCAGTCACACGAAGCTCGATGAACTTTGTATGATTATAAAAATAAATAAAAATATGCGTATTATTGTGTATAGAGACGGCGGTGATTGTCAAGTTGACGTAATTCTCACAACAAATAATTGTGGACAAAATATTTCGTACGTTTATTAGCTTCGTACACAAATTTACTTTTTAAACATTTTAATTAAAACTCTATGTGTCATGAAAATTTTAATTCTAAAAAGGTTTAATTGATTGACCTAAAGCCATGGTATTATGAATGAAATGACATATATTGTGGATAGTTTTTGCGGATTATTTTATATATTTTATGATTTTATCCATTACGTGGGACAAGACCAATAAAAATATTTTTCACAAAGATCGTGCACATTTCAGGCACTGAACTCTTGCTATTGATACGCACTTTCGTCATTTAGTCATTATACCAGTTATGGCATACAACTCCGTTTACAGAGATAATACAAAATTGTTTAAAAATCCGCGTAATAGAAGCTCATCCAATGCAATTAAATTTTTCTTCTCAACTTTATCTCCGTAAATACAAAGATCAAGTAAGATTAGAAAAAAATTTCAAAAGCCTCGGCGGCAGCCAATTACTTTATCTGCGTCCTCGATCAACATTATAATCGAAATGTTTTTTTGTTTTATTGTTTTTTTTTTTAATAGGAACTTTCGTAAGCATTAGAGCCGTGTATTTGATTAATACGAAAGCACGATCAAATTGACTATAATTCACGATTTACGTATTATAGATGTAAAAATTGGAAGTTTTATAAATACTCGATTGCCCTCTTGCAAATCGAGAAAGTGTTTTCGCAATTCACAAAAAACGTAATCGGCAATTAATCGCATATTACCGCAGTAGCGCACTTTCGCCACTTTTGCCGAGTCGCGGAACGATTTCTTCTTACACGGGGACGGGCGACTTTTGCCAGACAAAGGAGACGCATTAAAATTCCTCGGGCGACCACATCTGATGCGAGAAACAATCTTGTCTTGCATTCGAAGTGTATTCATTTTAACGCTTGTAAAACCAAATGAGAAAACAAAAACAAAAACAAAAAAAGAAAAAGACCACGAATAGACGAATCACAAGACGTAAACAGCGGCCCTTCGTATTCCACGCATTTCAACTTTGGTCACAGTTGGAAAATTCCGGTAAAACTTTCAGCAGTAGCAGGCGAAACATTTAAATCCCTTTTTTATTACGAGATAACAGATTTCATTAGGCGTAATAGAGGGCCCTTCGCCCTCTCTCGTTAACGATTCGCCTCATTCCTTATTCACTCACGATCTTTATGGAAGATCCTTAGATTGAAATCCAATCGTTAAGCTCAGCTTCTCGATGCTTATACGCCTAAACATTTCTGACCATACGAATGGAAAACAAAGCAATTATGGGTTTTAATATTGAACAATCGTAAAAGCGACTGATAGGGAGCTTATTAATTTAAGGTATCGATTGTTTTCGAAGCAATACCTTTTCTATTTAATCTGTCACACCAAAGTATTTAAGTCTCGATGTAAGTGATTAATCGTTGGTTATCGGATCGCAGTACGCTTAATCCATGAAAAATTGAATGGCTCGTTCGATTCGAATATACCAATAGATGTCTCGTGATTCCATCATGGGACGAATTTGCTTATTATCTCTGCCCATTGTGTCGCTATTTTTAAGCAGTCGTAGTAGCTGATATTCCAATAAAAACGAGGCCATGAGAGTGACTAGAAACGAAGCTGAGCTCGAGAAGAGGACGAGCCAGGAGGGTCGGCATACGTGCTGATATGAGCGACACGTTCGAAGAGACGACAGCCAGTAATAATATAAGAGATGAGCAGACCTAATGCTATGTAGGAGTAATGAGAAGGGGTTGAGAGAAGGAGGAATCGTCGTCGGGTCGACAGGTCGGTTGCCTCGACAATAGACTCGCTGTGTCTGGCAGCCGTCCACATAGTCAACGCTCGACGTAAACTATCGTAACAAGAGCAAGATGGCGATGACGATGAAGCAAGAAGAAGAAAAAAAATTTGCCAGCGAATGGTTCGAGCGAGAGACACGTGTCTCGAAATAGTCACTTTTGATGCCGCCATGAATTTTCTCACTTCTAAATTCAAACTCGACTACTTATTTACGTGACAAGGTACACTACTCCGACTCCCTCCTGGCTATTAAGCGCCTCAAACATATGCTCGTACTTATGCTTTTTCATATTTTGCTACTTGAAAATTTCTACGAAACGTCTGACGATGGATTCGATACTTTCGATCGATAATTTTATCTGCTCATCGTCGTGTCCTGCTTCTCCTCGCCGAACTAATGACAAAGTCATTTTTACCCGTTCTCCTTTACCACACACTACACCATCACTTCTACTCGATTTTTCTCTTTCCCGTTCTTTCATTTTTTCTTTCATTTGATCATAAGTAAGTACAAATGCACATTATGCAGGTAGCTAGAAACGAGGTATATATGAAATTACACAAAGCAGGCTGTAATTTCATTATATACAGAATGGAGGGCACGAGTTTACCATTTATCGTCATTTATCGTAGTTTGTCGCGCGAAACAATCCGGGTTCGCTCGTGGCAATCAGCCGTTTTGAGCAATCGATGAAATAAAGTAATCGACTATAGATAGGGATTTGGCCGACTCGTCGACTACGTCGTCATTAATAGCGACGCGATGTTCCATTGCCCTTACGAGTTTGCGTGCGGTAATGGATTGCATTTAGGGCGCTCGTACGCAAGAATTCCAAGTGATGGCATCCAGACATATTGATTCACAGTTTCACGAGTCCACGAATTTATCACTTCCACATCGATAAAACTTTCAATGAACCTTCCGCTTAAATGTCATTGCCGGCAACTCGATATACTTAGACTGGGTGATAATTCTATTTCTACCTTGTTGCACGACTTGTCACGTGTGGGTGGAAAATTAGAAAACGACTACCAAACCAAATTGTTAAATAAGTGCTGAGAATTTTAGGGAAAATTGTCGCTCTTTTACGAATCTCTGCATTCGGAAAATTCTATTTTGATAATTTCATTTGTTTGTTTGCATGAATTATTATAAAAATTAATTACCGTTATGTAAATGCAGCGCGTGTTGCTTAATCTTGGCTAATCAAAGCTAATTGTTGATTACAAGCTTAAGTGGTAGGAATTGGAGCGGTAAAGGGCAACTAAATACTTTTGACGGAAAATTTCCTGCCAAGACAAGATCATTGTCTCCGTATAAGATAAATTTTGAAAACTCTCTCTCTCTCTCTCTCTCTCTCTCTCTCTCTCGCTCTTACCTCGAAATAATCAAGATTTCCGATAAATATGTCTTTAGATATGCGAAACTTGAAGACATGACCAACTGTTGCGATAGAATCGCGTATTGGCAATAGCTTCTGGTTTCGTTGCCATTTTTTGGCATATTTTGGCAGCGTAGTCGACGACGTCGTTTTTTCCTTCAATGAGACATTATCGCGTGACTGCTGATGTTGGCGAGGCTCCGACTCCGCAGCTGCGGTTGGTGTCTCCTCTCCGACATCATCGAACACGAGGTCGTCCTCTTGCATACTCAGCCCCAAACAGAGGGGCAAGAGGAACAGTAGCAGTAACTTCATTGGCTTCATCTTCTTCATCGTGATGACGGAGGTAGCGACTATTGCGGTCACGTCTTATCATACCATACTTCGTGCTTCCTGTAACATTAAATCATACTCTATTAAAATCCAAGACTCTATTACGGCTAATATTCACCCGAATTTTTTTAATGATAATGGCAATTTACGACTGCAGTAACGACGTTATCAGGACTAGTAGTAGCAGTAATAATAATGACCATTACAAACCGCAACAACAACAACAATAATAATGATAATAATAATGATAATAATAGTATTTGGTAGTAGTCATTATTTTCTTGTACGTCGTTTTGGAATGGTAAAGATAAACAACGGTATACAACAGATAAAAATGATTCTCCCTTAGTTTATAGTTTTTCGCATAATACTTTAATTACTTTTATATAAATGGCACGGATTAAGCCACGAAAGTGAAAGATACCAGTAAATATTGTCATATTTTGTTTTATAAAACTCATTCCTTGAAATATGGCCATTTTAAATAAAAGACTGTTTAAAAAGTGCAGTAGTACATATATCTGACTCGTTACTTTCAAGATTAAAGTCAAATTAATTTAAATACTTGGGAAAGTTTTCCATTTGAAACGTTAATAAGCATTGATAAAGGAAGAAAGTAGGAGGTTCTTGACGGATCATTAGCGATGTCATGGATTTCAGTAAAAAAGAAAGGAAGGAAAAGGTTAAAGTTTTTATCAAAGAGAAGTAACTGCAATCCGGCAAGAGAGCATCGTTTCCACCATATTATTGCTCCGTTACTTCACGTACACCTCTATATATATATATATATATATATATATATATATATATATAGATGAGCAAGGGTAGGATAAGAAAGGCTGATAGTGTGGACTTAAATAATGAATCTTGTTGTATCACCAGTCATGCTATCAAAATTAGTTCGTTTATAGTGTCTTGTAGGTCAGCTTCGCAAATTACTGCAATAATCCATTTAGAATATCAGTTATGCCAGCATCCAGCAATTCCTGCATCTCTAATCGAAAAATAATGTCTTTTTCAACGCGTAACAAGCAACTTTAATCTCATGCGGATTTTACTGAATTTGTAAATGGTATCCTCCCTTTTGCCACTTATTTCGTATTCATCCTGAAAACGTGCATTTATGCAAATCCGCCATACAAAGCGATAAAATTGAGATAATTCGATTTTTTTTATTCAGATAAATAAAATGATCATGTTTTTAGATTATATGAATAGTAGTACTAGATCATAAATACGTTCTCCCGGATATGTCTGTACTTGCAAGTCATATTGTCACGGACTCTTCATTGATGCCAAAGCACTATTGTATTTTCAAAAATAGCGATTTTGTAAATACTAGCACACTGAGTTTCTACCATGTTAATAGCATTTCCTATTAGCAATCGAACATGAATTATGGAGTGGATAAGTTACGTCAATTGACTTTTGCAACAATTTTACAGCTCGGTCAAGGTTCAATTAACTATTAATGTATAATTAAAACCAAGGATTTTATATTTAAATTATTGAGAGGGATGTTTTACTTGCATGCGGAGTGGTACTATGGATTAGTATATACATACATATATATATATATATATATATATATATATATAGCAAATATTCATAACGTGTAAAATTTAATTTAATTTTTTTTCTCTTTTATTTTTTCACTTGAAATATGTATGACAGTATTATTAATGAATAATTAATATAATTTTTATGACGTTTTCAATACGAAAATATCATTTGTTTTTCTCCTTATTTTTTATCTTAAAAAAATTTCTTTTACTAATTAATGAAATTGCGTTTCTTTAAATATTGCCCGAAAATGCAAATTCACCATTCAATTAGCACGAAGAGTCACCGTAAAAACAATAGTTAAATTATTCTTTAATGAAAGACTGCATTGAAACTAAGAAAATGCTTAAAAAAGAATAATTAATTTACAAATATTCATTAGTAATTTTTGTTATGATCTTTTATGTTATTGCGCTGGCTAGTGGCAACTTTTTGCATTCATTTTCTTTATAATTTGTATATTCTCCGTAAATAAGGTAACGAACAGAGTACAAAACTCATTTTATAATATTATGGCAATCATGTTTTTTCTTCATTTTATTATTTTATTTGGAATTATATTTATATGAATATGGAAGTGAATATTTACTCACTCGAGCATGTATAATGAAATATGTTAGTTTTAACATAAATTTAATAACAAAGGCGTTTTCGTTTAGCGTTTTCTTCATCAATGAATATAAAAAAAAATTTATGCATAACAACTTTTGCATTCAGTTGGCAAAATTAATTACATCGTTAGCTTACATTATTTTACTAAATTTTCGTATTTTTAATTTTTCAATATTTTTTTTATCATTTTTTTTTGTTACGTAGTTCATGTTAAAAGTGAAAAGAATGATCAACAAGTGTCCCGAGTACAACATTTTTTAATGCTGATTCTGAAGTCAAATTGACCAAGTTTTCTATTTAAAAAACATGAATGTTTAAAAACTTTAAATGCATTTTTCTCATAATGACTTTTTGCAAAGTCGGCTTTTTGCCAAACAATTTTTGGAGAAACGTAAAAGAAGCTCACGATTTGCCAAGCGTTCCTAAAGGTTTATAAACTTATTAATGGCTTAATGAATAATTTTTGTGCAAAAAGCGAACAATTTCTCTAAGTACTCTCAAAACAAAAACAAAAAAAAAAAAAGAAACTCAGCATAGCTCGATGTGAATCAACAATATTTCATATAAATAACAAGATTTAAATAATTTTTCATTCGAGGATAATGAGACGATGATGGTTTCTATCGCTTACGTACACTGTGCGAATCTGTAGTCTGGCAATATTGAAAAAGCACAAAACAAAAAAGTAAAAAAAAATAAATAAAGAAACGATAAATTTTATTTTATTTTCACTCGAAGATAGTAAAGTCTATCTATCGCTATTAAGATTATGCAAACAGTCGATTATTCTCAATTTGTTAAAAATCCACTGCTTTCGCAATATCGAAGAGTCGCAAATCGCCCACTTCCTTGCATCCTATATTGAATATTATAGGTTACACGAGCAATATATATCGAACAATGAGTATGGAGCCGAATTAAAATCATGACCTATCCTAATTGGCAGCTAAGGCATTTTAATGTCCAATATTCGCGATATGTTCATCGTCAATTTTCCCAAAAATCGTTCTTGCCGATTCCGCGTCACAGTTGCATCAAATTATTGAAATAGCAACAGTCACTGAGCCCCAATGGGAGACGCGTAATGAAATCGCGCAAAGAATCTCGAAAAATCTCGGCAATTTACAGATGTAGGAGCTTAATCTTACTACTTACCGAAAGAATGAGTACGAGTGCCTCAGTCATTGTTGCAGCAGCAGCGCCGCTCGTTAAATGCCGGGCCTAAAGCCCCGATCACTTACGCAACTTACCAAGCGGACGGGGCGCTTCGATCGATAAAACTGTTGCGGAGCGATAAATCACCGGTGGCAAAAGAAATCCGACATATGACGACGAAAACACGCATGGGACAGCCAGTTACAGAGGGAGAGAGAGAGAGAGAGAGAGAGAGAGAGAGAGAGACCAGCCTTTAGACTTCGTGAGAGTGGTGGGGACGCAGTGGAGTGTCGCGGACTCAGTTGGAGAAGCGCGAGCCGGGCCCTCGTAATCACTCCCGCTCCTAATGATTGTCAATAGAGAATGCGGGGCCCATCCTTTATTCCCTCATTCCCTCGCGTGGCTGTTCCATTGAGCGCAACATCCGGCAGCCAATCGCCACGATCGCATGTGTGCACCAGTTGGGCTATCGATGCTAAAATCCATTATCCTGCTTACGCTATGGTTCCAGGTGGGAGGATGACTGAAGAGACGTCGAGGGGTTAGTGGAGTGCTAAGCAAATATTTATATATATATGTATGTATATATGGCGGCGGTGGTTTATTAATGAGACGAGACGGTTACATGATGGACGCTACGATCCAACCATTATATTATGAGTTATCGTTACTAGATAACAAGCTCGCGCGTTTTTTCTCCCTCACCCCCCTCCCCACTTCAGCCGAGCCCACCCATAGGCCCGTCTTTTCCGACTCTTAATGCATGACCAACTTCCTTTTTACGAGTCAGAGTTCTTTGCTTTCGAGGCTTAATAAGCGCCGATCGAGAGAGCCGAGCCTCTCGATACTGTATTTTCAAGAGTTTGAGCTTTCAAAGCTCTCAACCACCTTTTTTTCCTTATGTAAAAACAAAAAAAAAAGCTCATTGGTGTAAGCTCTTCTCTGGACTCTTGGAATATCTTATTCCCACTCTTTTTCTCTTCGTTCTTACGCACTTGTGCGCAACCAGTTGCTTTTATTATATGCTTTAATGATTTTACGATTGAAATTTCTCCGCTGACGAGATTCATCCTTATAGCTCGACTTGAGTAAATCAACAGCCTTCTCTCTCATACAGCTGAATGCTACTAAAGAAATAAATATGCTTTTCACGAAATGCTACACAGTTCACCACACTGGCGCTTGCGCTATCGCAATTAGCCGTGTTGATATTTCTCTCTTTGTGCAATGCTATACGTAATTCAAAGTGTATAATGTTGATACTTATGAGGCGAGGGAGTCCAATGATAAGATATGACAAAGTCAATCGAATGCACGTATACTTGAGTACAATTTTTGGTATGATATACTTCTGTGCCAAATCGATGCACAAAAGTTTGCTTTATTGCGACTACGCCTTGAGTGCATCAGGACAATAAACGACGACGGCGACGACGTCTGTGTTGTATTCAGTTGCAGAATCGAGTATACAAGCGCATAGAGACGGCGAAATGACTCCGCTCGAATGCTTCGCGAAACTCGAAGCTATAAACTCGTCGTGCCTTTTCACGCTTAATTGATCATCATACGATAGAAATCAAGTGTACCAAGATATATGAGTCTTTATCATGTCTCTTTACACGATTCCCTTCCCACTCGCCTCTACTACGATACCACGAGCTAGTCGTCAACGAGTCAGGATTTTTGTTTCGTCGCGCATTGTTCAGTTGGCAATTTCACGTTTTCGTTAC